AACTGACCCTTATGACTGGTTTTGTGGTCCAGGGTCACATATTAATGTTTGTTATATTGCAAAGTTTGACAAGACAGTGAAGCTTATTTATGTTGCTTTCCAAGTATGCAATCATTTGCATTTTGTAATTTGCATGTAACATAGGTTTTTGATCCTTTGCGCTATTTAGTATAGATGATTTCGACTAGTACGCTAATCTACCCTGCCTTTTTCTCAGAGTGTTTAGATTCTACACAATCATGGAGACTGGTGCAAACTCCTTCCACGTGGAGTTCCCGGATTTTTCCTGCTCGCTCCTGAAGAAGCTGAACCAGCAGCGGCAGAGAGGGCAGCTGTGCGACCTCATCGTGTCCATCGGCGGCCATCAGTTTCGCGCCCACCGCGCGGTTCTGGCCGCCAGCTCTCCGTACTTCTGCGATCAGGTGCTGCTGAAGAACAGCGCCCGCGTGGTGTTGCCAGACGTCATGCATCCGTGCGTTTTCGAGCAGCTCCTGTTGTCGTGCTACACGGGAGGGCTTTCGGTGCCGTCCGGAGAGGTGGTTTCCTTCTTAACAGCCGCTAGCTTCCTGCAGATGTGGCACGTGGTGGACAAATGCACTGAGCTTCTGGAAGTAGGGAAGAAAAAACGGATCGACCATGGATCGTCTCCAAAAGGTGATGGTTATGCCACTGATAATGAGGACGCTGGTCAGACTGCAGGTATAGGAGAAGATCTAGGCGATTTGGATCCTGCTTTAGGTCCAGGAATGTTAGAAAGCGCCGGTTGTTCGTCTCCAGATGATCCGAGCAGTGAGAATGGCTCGGATGCAATGGAAAACCAGTGTTCTAGACCGGCCTATGTGCCGCCGAGCATAATGGGACGCAGAAAGAAGGTGCATATAAAATCAGAAAAGCAGAATCGAGATGCTTGCGGCAGCTTGTGTGGCGCCGAAAACTCTCACAATCCAAACACCGCAGAGGATTGTTTTGACGAGAAACTGGTGAAGTGCTTGAATCGAGATTGCTCTTATGAAGAGCCGTTAGACTTCTACGGGACCTCCATGGAGGGCTTTTCACAAGCCTCGGACGAGCTTTCCAACCCGACGTCCAGGGATAAACTTCAGCTCGAAGGAGGTGCTGATGTTTCTAAAGATGAGACGCCGGTTGACGGCGGCTCAAAGGAGCAGACCTCTCACTCAGGCTTCGCTTCGGTGGTTTACAAGCTCTATCCGTGCCAGTGTGGCAAAAGTTTCACGCACAAAAGCCAGAGGGACCGGCATATGAGCATGCATCTGGGTCTGAGGCCGTTCGGTTGCGCCGTTTGCGGCAAAAGCTTCAAAATGAAGCATCACCTGGTGGGCCACATGAAGATC